TAAGACTTGTGATGTCGATCTAATTCACCCCTAACCCCTAAATTCTTTCCTTGCAGCTCTAAACCCTAAAACCCCCATATCTGATTAAACACTATTTCTCTAAATCTGGATCCACTGCAACAGCTTGTAGACAGATTGCTCCAACCTGTCCTACATCATAGTGAGGGAAAGAAAACTTTCTCCTTTTTCTGGCAACCAAACAAGCACAGTAAAGGTACAGATCCAAAACCAAATTGAAACCACAGGGAAAAGGAAAAGCAACGGAGAATGAAATTGACGAAGAGAACAAACCTGATTTGAGATACTAGCCCAGAGCATTCAAGAGGTAACTGATTTTGAGGTAGGAATGACGGAAATGTCGATGCTTTGTGAAAAAGGGTACAGAAACCTAGAATATGAAAAGGTTTGGTTTTTAGTGGCGTATAAGGTATCTATTTTATGCAAAAAAATTATGAGCCAAATGGGTTTGAAATTGGCCTCTTTTTCCTCAAAGCCCTAAGAAAATAAACACAAAGCGCTGTTAAAATGCTGAATGAAAACCAAAAAAAAATGATTACTTCCAGAATTAATGTAAAAGGTTTCTCACGTAGATTTTCTCTGATGGTAATTGTTTGCACTGCATTAACTAGGTTTTACTCAAATTTGACAAATGTTGAAGCAACTTAAGCCTTATATAATAAAAAATAGCCTAAGATAAAGTAGTAACAACAGCTTTTTTAACATTAATCCATCCTTACTACCTACTCTAAACCTTTTGTTTGCCTCAGTAGGTCTATGAATGTCAATGGACTTGAGATCTAGTGTTCCATACAGAGACAATAAATCTCTTGTAGGTTTTCCTTTATTTTCAACTACACAAGGTTATGTTCAACAGATAAAGAGTGTTTAATAAGTCTGTCTAACACAGGTTAGTAACACCAAATGTTGCAAACAAAATAACACATAACTTTTGAATTTATGGAGATGGTAAAATCTTCCTTGCAGAATATATACATTAATATGATATAACAGTTTGCTAAACAAACTTAAAATTCTCTTTCCAAACTTTGGCCTGTCAATTTAGGTATCTTCAAACAGTTAAATCATATATAATGCAAAGCTTATGACAATTTTTTTTTTTTTTTTATCAGCAACAAATAAATTTACTCTTCCAGAGTACAAGAGGTACCCTTCATACAAAATTCTTGAACTATTAATGTGTTAACCACATGGGTATGACCAATTGTTCTTTAAGGAAGGCTTTCATGTTTATGTCTTTGAAGAATAGATCACTCTGCATTATCTAACAGGCATATCTATAGTTAAATTGTCTTTTTGTTCCTCACAGCTTGGGGTAAGCATTTGGTCCCAAAAATAAATTTTAGCAATTTAATCCATAAATTACCAAGAAGCAAAAAAAATTAACTCATTCTATTACTACTGCTGCAGTTTAACAGAAGGAAGTTCATATCAGCTAGACAACTAAGGTTGCAGTATAAGAAAATGACGCAGGTAATAAATTGCAGTACAAAAATCCTGATTATGATTAAATAAAGCATCAAACTTGAAATGAACATAAAACAATCAGAAACCCGCAGAACAGAGAACAGAACCTGAAGGCAATAATTAACCTCCTCTCAGCATCCTCGCCAACTCTGTTCCTGCCAAGGCTGCTCACTGCAACAATAAACGAGAGTTCAAATGGCTAGGAGAAAAGTTCTCTTAAAATATCCTGTATCCCAATCCCTAACTCTTGCTAGTTTTCCCAGTAATCGAACAAAAAGCCATAAAAAAAGAATGGAAAATTACAGCAGAATCAAAACTGAAAGCATCTGAATCGAGACAATGGGAAGAAACCGAGTAGTGTGATGTGAGAGCCTGACAACAGGTAAGACGATAGAAGATGAGATAGCAGAATCAGCAAGTTCAGAGGTATTAGCTTTTCGCAGTGCCATGGTGGAGAGGAACTGAGGGTAAGGAAAGGGGATACAGCGGTCCAGCGACGGTGGCTTCCGCGTTTGTTGAGGATTCTAAATGAGGCAATAGGTTGGGAATGAAAAGCAATGTTTTAAAAACCGGACCGGACCGGCCGGTTAAACCGGTCGGACCGGTACCGGTACCATAAACGGCTCGAATTAAAATTTAAAACCAATAAAGTGATTGAACCATTCAAAACCAATAAAACCATTCAGATCGATACAAATCATTAAACCATTCAACCAAATGGTTTAAATCTTTTGGAAATTTTGTATTTTCAACCACCTTTGCCAGTGGGACACCACCTCTTCGATTGAAAAGAGTGACTCTAAAATTTTATTTATTTTATGTTTAGGAAGAAAAGAATCAGCCTTTGCCTAAGGAACTTTCTTCTTCTTTATAATTAACTTTCACATTGAAATTAATATAATGTTAATCTAATTTTTATCTTAAATATATAAATTAAAAGTGTAATAAATATAATTTTTTATAATTAACTTACATAAAAAAAATTGATGTTTATTTTAATACTATTAATATGAAAAATGATTTTAATTAATTAATTAATTAATTTAAAGTCAACTTTTATAATTTTTTATAACAATTAATTAAAAGAGTAATGCATATTAATCCTAACTTCTAAAAAAATTAGAGTTTCAATTTATATTTAGAAATTAAAATTTTAATTTAAAATTTAAAAATTCAATTAATTTTTAAATCTAAATTTCAATATTTAATAGAATATATTTTTAAATTTTAATTAAATGAAATAATATAATTTAAACGTAAGATTTTATTTTTTAAAGAATTAGAATTAATATATTTTTTTATTAAAAATATATTTATTTCACCCTTAACATGTATAAAAAAATTTATTAATATATTATAAATTAAAAATACAATAATATAAATTTTTACATGTATTTATAATTAATTTATATAAAAAATTATAAAAATTGATATTTATATGGATGATTTTAATTGATTAATTTATTAATTTAAAATTAATCTTTATAATTTTTTATATAAATTAATTAAAAAATTACTTTATTAGAAATGTGATAATAGCATTTTGACCCCCACCATGCTCGAACACGCGTTTCCATAGTGATAGTGATAGGCGGAGTGACAAACCAGTCCAACCACCACACTTGTTTTGTTTATTTATTACATCATATTATATTTATTCATATAAGATTAAACAGGTAGTTTGAAGGGTTAAACTGGTTAAATCGGTCAAATCAAGAACCGAAGATCAAAATGGTTTGACCTCCGGGTCGGTTTTCAAAACATTGACGAAAAGGGTAAATTAGTACTCAAAATAGTTTTCAGCAGCGAAAGAGCTCTCAATAAAATTTTGGAAGCAAATAAGCCCTCTATGTTTCAATATGTTGTGCTTTGAAGTCATACTTTGGCAGTTCGAGGAGGATTGAAAGGGTAACAATACATGCCAATTTTTTGTATAATTTTTTATATAATTATATATTATTAAATAAACATATATATAATAAATTTTAAAAAAAATAAATCAATGTATAAATTTATATGAAAAATTTTTTTTAAGGCACCTATAGATTCCGGTCCCGGGAACCACTAACTAGGACCAACTCACTGATCAATATAAAGACTAGTTGGTCTTGGTTCAATCTGGATCACGATTGTCCATTTGAAATTTTTTTAAAATTTGTTAATTTTAAGGGGCATAGTGCACCCACACCATGTATGTTCATAGCACCTAGCTTGGCCAGTCAAGCTATGATTTTCTTAAAATTAGAAAGATGAAATCAACGAGCCTAGGCACGACACACCTTGATCACGACTAGCTCATTACTAAGCCGACCCTGGGTAGTCCTAACCGACGGAGTCGATTACGATCTTTGATCGAGCCAAGCTCAGGCAGTACCATATATTTAGGACTGCCTTGAGTGCCATCCCTACCTCAAAGTGGATGAAGAGTGTAATGGGTTGATGACTATGTTCATTAACATATGGTTTATTATTTTCATCCTGGGTAGATTTGCTTTTATAGCATTTTTGTTAAAGAAAGCAATTATGAGAGTTTAATTACTATTAAATTTATTTTGTCGATATAAAAAATTTATTATTAAAATTTTATTATTTTAGAACTCATATATGCATAATCAAATAGAATACACGATGAAAAATTTCTTGACAATACCTATTTTACATACTATGATTATTATTTCTTCAACAATTGGACATTAATTGACAACAAGAAAATCGTTGATGGAATATCCTTTTCTAAACCTAAAATGCAAGTAAATCCATTCCCACCCATGCTGTTTTCTACGTATAAAAGGAATGAAACGGAGAACATAGTAAATGGATATACCCTGTATTATCATCAGCGGAAAAGGCAAATACAGCTTGATACAAGAGGTTAATATCGTGAAAAACTAAACGAGGAGCCCCAGGAGGGATTACTAGAGACTTGGTGGAAGTAGTATGCTAGTAGAAATATAGGGGGCTCAAAGAGGATAATATTATACCTAAACAACAATATCGCTAACTTCTATATATAGGCATGGACACAAAATAGTAGGATCTAGATCCACTCAAAATGGACAAAGAAAGAAATGGATGAAATGCTTAACTTGTTGGAACTTTAGATGTCTTCGATCCTTGGAGCTCTCTCACTGCACGACACAGGTGGAAACAAATGGAGCTAGTAAATTTATTGACTATATCTTTCACTCAACAGGTAACAAAGAATAAAGAAAAAAGAAAAGAAGAAACCACATCAGATTGAGGTATGGTAGATTAATGTCATAATACAGTGACTATCTTGAATATATCATACAATAGCTAGCAATAGTGAATTATCTACAAAAGGAGAAAAAAAAAAAGAAGCTAAATTATAGACAATCTCAAAAGTTATTATCCCTGTTTAACTTTTTAGTTATAATTTGACTTTTTTATTTTTTAAACATAAATATTAAATAAAAATTTAACATTTTAGTATATAAACAATAATTAAATTTTTTTTATCAAATAAAAATTCTCAACAAGAATTCTATATAAGAAAAAAATTTTAATTATTATTTCTATAAATTATTAATTTTTTATTTAAAATTTTTATTTAAAAAGTAAAAAAATTCAAACTAATACTACCAAAGCTAAATGGAAAGTAATAAGTACGACCTTACAATGCGTATGATTTAATTATAAATGGATGAGTGAAAGCACAAAATTCTCAGAAATAATTTAGATAATTCATGTCTTATTTAAAACTGATTGAATCCGGTAGTCGCAACAACTTCTACTTTTTCCATGAAATAGAGATATGGTAATATTTCAAATATATATGGGATAATATACAGATATAGATTACTTGAAAATAAACAATATATATATAGGATGAATCTCATATTAGTGCATAAATAGGGGGTTTCATCTAACATTATAATGCATTAATTAATTAAAAATATTTGCTTATTTAATTATCTATATGTATCTATCTATCTATATTTATCTATCTATATATTATGTAAAATGCTACCTTATGTATTTAATAAGGTATGCATTTAACAAATTCAAATAAAAGAGCATGAAATTAAAAAAATTGTAAATGGTAAAAATATATGAAAATTGTAAATGATAAAAATAATTAGAAAATGAATGTGATAGATGAAAAGGCAACATTAGCTTAACATAAAAGGCCAAAGGTTTAAATATTTAAAAACTCTTAAATGAAGAAAATAGAGTCAATGTTTAAATATTTAAAATTTATAGAGTTAAGAAAATAAAGAGTCAAGTGGCACATATTTAAATTCATTCTCTCCCCTATGCTGTTCATGTACATTCTTCTTATCAATTTTTTCAATAATTAACTGTCACTGTAAGTAAATTTAAGGTTTTTTTCAATTCTTGATAACAATATCTAAATGTTTTGTTTGAAAGATTTTTTTATTCAAAAAGTGATTGCAAGATCCAGGTGCTTCGAATGTTATTTCTTGATATGAATAGATATTTAATTCTAACCACCAATTTATATTTTCCTTAATTATGTTACATATTTTATCTTATCTTGACATACTTTATTGCTAAAATTTGAAAAATATTTAAGGGTAAATCAATTACAAAAAATGTAAAATACATATTTCTTAATCAACTTTCATTTGATAAAGAAGATTAGAGGATTAAGTATGATAAGGAGATTGTGGGATATTTTTAGTTTGAAAGATGATAAGGACCAAGTACTGAAATGGTTTTATCAATGAGAAAGTAATTTTGTGAGTTATTGTATTTGATCTTTTAAACTTAACGATTCCTTTTAACATATTTGTTTGTCGAAAAATTTTATTCATGCTATAATTTAGAGTTTTAATACTGTATAATTTAAAGATGAGTTAGTTTAAAGAAATGTTTATTACATGAAAAGAATAAAAATACATATTGTGTTGTCTATTATAATAATTACAAAATCCAATTCTACTTTTTTAATCGATAAAGGAAAATTTTATTATGTTAGAGTACAAGAGGTGTTTCTATCCATATACATCACACTCTACCATTACACAATTTAAACATTTATTGCTCTAGAACATAAATCAAGATAAGTAATCCAATCATACAATGAGAGCCCGCATCCGCTTAATCTATCCTTTAACCACAGAAAGGATTTAGTTTGAATTACCTCCACTAATCTGTCGACATCTATCTCAACCTTATTAAAAATCACTCTATTTCTCAATCCAATTCTTTCTTGATTATATTGTCAAAGAATTGAGTGAAAAAGTCAAAGTAACCTTGAGATATATATTTGAACTCACTGATTATAAAAATTATTTAAGCAGAAAAATAAATCCTTTTATAGTATCTGCTTTTTTTTTATCTTAATATAATTTTATTGAAAATGTATATTTCATTAAAAATTTGGAGGAAAGGGGTTTAACGTAACAAAAGATTAAGAAAGAAAGTCTTATTTACGGAAATAAGAGTTCATATTCTCCCATTTCAATTTTAAGCATTGTAAATTATATATATCTGTTTATTATATAAAGTGTTCCCAAAATAATAATTAGGGGCTACTTTTGTCAACAACAAAGCATGATAATAATTATATAATAATAATTAGTTTTTTTAACCCGACGCATGGGACTGTTTTTATGTTTTTTTTTTAATTTATTTTAT